CCACTACACACAGAATTAAGGATGTTATAGTCTCGTGCAGTGGGTTTCTGCCCTTTTCTTAGATTTGAACATATAATCTTTTGGGTTACTTTCCTCCTTCACAACCATAAACAATATGAATGGTCATATAAGTCAAAACAGAAAGTCTCTGTTAAGCAATGACAGTGATTGAATGCATGGGGAAGAGTACGAATGCTTCTCACAAATATTTTTCTAATCATCTACTAAATCTAGTTTATGGACTTCGTGAGCTGCATACTCTTCCTGTGCATTTAGTAATTCTTATTGGATTTAGCTTTCATGGACTTGTTCCAGATCCATATAAATATTCAACATGCATAACTTCCTTTGACATGGAGTTCCACGGGTCTGTCACCCACAAACCTTTGGTTTCCTTGTTTTGAACCTAATGCCAACACTTTTCGGCTTTTGTTGTTCTTGCAGGAGAAAGAGTCAACAGTTTATCCCTACCCACCAGTCCATGTCTCTCAATTTCATAAACCACTACTTATTGTTGCTTTTCCAGCCTGAGAACAACTCACTGACCTGATTGTTCTCACATGGAGCCTGTTTGACACACACCTCCCCAGCTCTTCTCTCAGAATGTCACGATTCTGCTAAACACTTTCGGAGGTAATCAAGCTAGAAATGCTCAGAGTATTCAAGTTGCCAGTGAATCCCAGATGTATGCAGTGATATAATGATGTTCTCTGTTTTATTGTCTTTTCCTAATAATGTTAGCTCAGTTGTTTAAAACTTGGTGCTAATAACTCCAAGGTTGTGGGTTCAACCTCCTGTATGGGCCATTCATTTAAGAGATGGACTTGAGGATCCTTATGCATCCCTTCCAACTCAGAATATTCTGTGATTCTAGTAGCATCGTGTATTTGACTGCTAATGGGTATTGATAAGTGAATTCATGCAGGAACCCATAACTTCTCACTTGTTTGTTCAAGTCTAACAAACTTGTTCAGCATAAAAAAAATAAAACATTAAAAGCTTGGGATTTGACTTTTTTTTTTCTTCTCTTATCCACCCTCTGAAGACCTGTCAGAGGAAAGAATTGAGGTCTTACATTAGATGTGTCTGAGGCCTGTATGGATAAAACTCATTTAGTAGCCACTTTATATAATGTAAATAACTAATTTGGTAAAAAATCCTGTTTCATAGAGGTAGTAAACGATATCTTTACAATTAAATTTTCCTCTCTTCTCTAGGAACGTATTTTAATAATGTCCCACTTATAAAATTATTAATGGGGCCTGTAAATGTAAGTAATTAAGCTTAAGACTTACTGAATTAATCCTTAATGTGATTGATTTTTACATTTGAAAAAAACTATAGAATAATTGAATAATTATTATAATGGATTTGCCATACTCATCAGTTTCCTTTGAGTAATGTAGGGTTACATAGCTGATTCTATAGCCAGAGTTCTATAGTCTTTTCTCTCTTATCCCATTTAATCTCACTTATTGCTAGGTTTTTTTCAAAAAATGTTCACCAGAAAGTTTAAAAAAATTTAGGTATCATCCTGCTTTATAAAAAGAGTTGAAAATGAAAATGTAAGCTTATGAAAACTGATGATATTTTGCTTTTCCCTGCATCTATTTTACTTTTCAGGAAATATAGAAAAAGGTAGGTTACAAAAGCCTGGGAGTTTATTTTAGGGAAAAGTTTTGAACTTCTTGTAGAAATTCTCACATTTTTTCATCAACTCTGTTCATCTTTTTTGTATTCACCAGCTTCAATTCTTATTTTAGTTTTTGAGGATTAGATCTCATCAAACTCTTTTTCCCCTTAGATTATCAGCGTCCTGTGTACCTGTCAGTCAAAGAAAGTAAGGTTGTATTCACATTCTATTCTAAAGCCTTGAGGTGCAACAATTGCTTTTTTTTCTTATGTTAATGCATCTCTGACAGCCTTCTCCTGTGTCGTCTCTTAGTGACGGACTGACCATCAGGTGCCTGTAATGGGACAGAATGTTGGCGTGACAGCCTTGATGCAGTGAAGTGCTGCTCAGCGGCAGCCAAAATAGTGGTGTGCTATTGACACGTTTCTAGCTACGAATACAAAGCACAGCTCTGAGGGCTGCTATGGGGAAGATTAACCCCATCTCAGCCAGATTCAATACAACTATGTAGTTTGTAGTCCTGAATAAAGAAAGCCTATGGAGTATTATGGAATTAATTCCCTCCCTACCTGAATGAAAAGTTATTATCTCATCTAATCACCAGATGTCCTATTACAGGGAACTTGTTAGCACTGTTGGGAAATCTCTTGTGGTCAATTGTTGCAGTCACTGTGTAAATTTTTAAGCTCTTCTGCTCTGAATTTTATTTTACTATTGCATAATAGCTTCAAGGTCTGCTGTCTGTTTTACCCTAACAGATTCTGGTCAGCCCACCTCATGACTGGCTCTGGTTGTTAGATTTTGCTACAAAGTGTCTGCTAGATGAGGTTTGCAAAGCCTCTATCCTGTAAGGCATCACTGGAAATCCTCCTCTCTTTTACAATTACATTCAAGACAAACCAGATAGCTCTTATTTAATCAGAAAAAAGGTTGTCCCATTACGCAGTGGTGGTTATATATCTATTGAAGCAAAATCAAGTAACAGGCCTTGTATAAATATAGGTCATCAGTGGTTACCTTTCCTAACTACAAATCTTGTTAGGAAATAAATTAGTTTGAAATGAGCTGTTTTCCAAAAGTCCATGTTGATTGGATTCGTCAATTCAGTTATTTATTATTTGAGCCCATCATTTGCTAGCATCAGTCTCATGGGGATGGGCCAATAATTACTCAGAGCATCTTATTTAGCCTTTTTAGCATATTTATTTGTTTTGATCTTCCTGTTGTTTTGTAACTCAACTGCATAGAAAGTTTTTAACCAGTCCTTCTAAAACTTTTAGATGCAGAATTTTAAAATGATGATTTTAGCATTTCTAATTATATGCTTCTCTCTTTTTGTCTTTTTGTCTTATTGATCCCTTTTTCATCTAATAGGAGCATGGTAGTAGTGGTATGATTCTGTCTGCTTTTAATACACCAGGGCAGTTCTTGTTTCTACCAGTCACTTTCCTATCAAGTACTTAACTTCTCTTCATTTTTTAATTGTCTGCTTCATCATTTTCAACTAATGTTATTTTCCATTTTTGTATTTTATATGTCTATATATGTATATACACAGGTTAATGTAATATATATGTGTAATTCATGTATATGTATCATAAGGTATATAATATATATGGTGCAATTTTAAGTTCTTTGTTCTCTTTTTTTTTTTTTTTATTTACAGGTGGCTTTCTTTTCAAACTGTGGTATGTTAAATGGCTATTAAAATATTTTTCAACCATGCTCCACTACTAGTCATTGTATTTTTTTCTATTTAAATTCCTTCTCTGAAGTTTTTTGTCTGATAGTTATTACCAGTTCTTAACGGGCAACTGCTAAGCATTTATGTATATGTATATACACATACATATATAAATATATATTTACATATATATATTTATATATACAAAAAACCTTTTTCTAACAGAAAGTAGGAAAAGTAACCAAATCATTTTTATAATTAAAATAAACAGGCATAACCCTAGCAAATTATGATTTTTCCGTTACCCACCCAAAAATTTTGATTACCTTGCTGAGGGACAGAAGTTAGTCCTGTATCCTCCCACTGATTTGGTATAAACAAGATCAAACCATAATATTTAAACTGAGATGATTAGACACTGTAGAAATTAGCAGTTTGCTAAGTGAAACTGAAAATTCACCTCGGTGTGTGTAGCAGCATGAACTGTTATTCTAGAAATAGCAGGAGATAAGTTTAAGAGCATGAGGGAAACTTAACAATAGCTGTAATAAATACCATAGTTAGAGTATCCTTAATTTGCAGAAACAAATGTTGTATTTTTCTGCTTCTCACCATCCTTTACTTCTGGACTCTTTCTTGGACATACATAATGAGCAAAAACTTGGTAAATGTCATTTTCGCTTATTTAAAAATGCATTTATATTATAATTCTTTCATAGCGTTGTAAGTCATGTGCTAACAGGGCATGGTTATTCTGCTAATGAAATGGAATCGTTTGGCCTTCAGCATCACAGTATTGAATATGCATCTGAGCCATAGATTAATTACCTGATAATACATATCATTTAATGTCCCATTCCTTAAACACCCAAATGCTCATTGGGAAGCTATCCAATAAATAAGTGAAAATGCAGCCTTTGTAATGACTAGTTAAGCATCTCCTACAAAAGTATGTGTAAATAGGAAAGCCATCTTTGAAGTTTAAATGCTGTTTAAAAATCCATACTATTCTACAAGTTTCCTAATAGCCAGTACTATAGAACAGAGGTTCTGTGCCCTGATCCTGGCATGGTGGGTGCTGCACTGCATCGCACTGCTTTCCAAGTAGACAAGAGCTCCTGGAGAAGGACTAGGGTAAGGGAATGTGCCTGGAGAACAGGGCCCTGACATTGGACTAGCAGGTGGACCTGGCCTGGCAGTGCCTTCACCCTCCTTCCCTCTGCCACTGTGATCCCAGGGAACATTGCACTCTCCCCAGGAGACACACGGTTGAAAGCTCCCTCTGCCAGACACAAGCAACATCTGTAAGTCTCTATGTGCTGGAAACACACCCTCACATAAACATATTCACCCCACTAATTTAACAGGTAGTATTACACATTGTTAAAACCTTTTTATATCTAACAGCTCAGCTCATGAGGACTCCACCAAGATCTTCATAAATACCTGCTTAAGAGGGAATCTAGATTATTGAGCTGAAATATATGGAAAAGTATTTGTTCTTTTTTTTTTTCTTCTTTCCTTAGAGATTCCTACTCTTTTCTGCTCGTTGTTGTTAGCTCTTGTTAAATGCTGACCCTGATATTGACAGGTTGTGGGGGTTTTTTCCTTCATGTGCATCTGTTCAAAGATCAAATTTAGAGTCTTATAAATAGCACTAAGCTCATCTGTGTTGAAGCAAGTGGATATTTTAGGTCTTCTCCAACATGTAAATTCAACAGACTGGAGTTTTCAGCAAATATCTTAAAAAGTAAGTAACCTTAAGTCCAAATTCTTTTCAAAAATAAATTTATCTTTCCTGAGCTCTGTTATACAGATTATAGCATACCTGAGTAAGGAATTATTTCATTGCTTATAGTGATGGCAAAGAACGTTAAAAACTTACTAGAATTGAACTATTGAGGTAGAGCTACAAACTAAAGTTTCTTAAAACATATTCCATGTGAAATCTTCATTGAACAAATGAATAATTGGTGTGCAATTCCAAATAAAGCCACAGTAAATAGCTTGGTACAATTAATTGCTATTAATTCATATTTAAAATGTAAAAATAATTTCTCTTCTAAATTTGGAAAACATGAATAATAGATCAACAGTTAAGAAAATACTGTAAGAATAATTTGTAGTTTGAACTCTAGATAAAAGAAGGAATAGGGTCCCCACAGATTAATCTGATAATGGGAAAAAAATCCAAAACTCTAATATACAGGATTTCAAGGTCTCTGATCAAATACTAATCTTTATAATTTTTATCTACAAAGAGATCTGCAAAGATCTTTCCCATAAGCAGTATGTGCTTGATAAATATTGAGATAACTGTGAGAATAACTGTGAGGTCAAAAGCATATTTTGCCAATGCCATTTGGAAAGCTGGATATGAGGACAAAAATGAAGAAAATGGGAAATGATAGGAGAGAGAAATATGTCATATGAAAATCTAAGTCAGCTGGATATGGATATGGTTATCAATCAGGTTATATAACTTCTCTGTGTGTTTTAAGGGTTTAACTACCTAAGTGCTATTCAAGCAGTGAAACGCGTGCACACGTATGCACGCACATTGCACAGGCAAATCCCACTTACACCGCTCCCGAAATCACTGAAGAACTTTAGCTGGGAGGAGAGTGGGCTCAGGGGGATCTCACCAATGAATATAACCACCTGATAAGGGGGAGTGAAAATAACAAAGCCATACTTTTCCAAACCTGATTGGACATTTTGCCAAGTAGCCTGCTCTTGGTGACCCTACTTTGGGCAGGGGCTTGGACCAGGCGCTGCCCAGAGGTGCTCTCCAGACTCAATCCCTCTGGGGCTGGGACTGTCCCTGAGACGATTCACTGCTCTGAGCATAGGTGTAATGTCTTTGCCGCTTGTGGCTCAGCATAAAGGTAACACTGAGGTGAAACAGGGTTGGTCATTAGTCTTGTGGCTTCAAACGTAGACCTGCCAATTTTGAAGCTGTTCTGTGGATTTATAGCCAGACATGTTAATAACATAAGAAGCACCTAGACCAAATATAAGAGTTAATAAAATATCTTTGCAGTTTGAAACAATAATGCCAAAAGGTACACAATGTGTTACAGAACCAATGTGTTTAATTTTTTATGTTGCTTATATATGATCCAGACAACCAGTCCTGCCTACACACAGGATACATGAAATAGCCCTGTGTATGCAAAATTCAAATAGTTGTAAAAAGTTAGTCAGAATGCAGAAGGGAAAATGGACAAATTGTTCCTTTCTTAGTCTAATCTGTCCGTAGCTACAGAGCTGAACTATGGGTTAGTAGGAAAGAAAGATATGTTTTAATATGTTTTCTTTCCTCAAGAAATCATGCAATCATCAATCCAATTCAATCATCCAGTATGCTGTCCTTTACAAGGCATGTCTCTGGCCAGTGAAAATGTTTCTCTGGTAGTACTGATGTGCCAGGTACAGTGTCCTTGAAAAGAAATCACAAACCCTGTGAACATATTTCTGGTTTTCTGTTGTTTTATGAGAGTCATATATAATAATACAAAAAATAAATAGTTGTAAATAGTAATTTTTTTGAAATCTAAAATACTTCTTAAAAACATTAATTTCTAAGCATTCAGATATGGTCACAATTTTTCTTAATTGAAAGTAGAAAAATGAACTTGGTTTAAAACAATACTTTGATATATGTATATATTCTTTAAAAATTACTTATATTATTTTTGGTAACAGTAACAAGAGAGGATATCTTATATACCACTTTTCAATTAATATATCATAATTTACAGTAGCAGCAGATTAATTCCTCTGTTACAGCTAAAGAAAGTAAAGCATCTTTTTTGTCACTTCCACATTATCATGAGCTTCTACAGAAAGATTCTCTTGAGTTTGTGGCTTTAAGGTTTGCTGTTTTAATTTAAGACAGTTCAAAGCAAAGATTTGTTGCAAAGGCTATTTATTGATATGTACAATCATTTCTCAACCAGAATGTCAAATTTTGAGCAGCTTCACTTCGACTTTTACCAGTCCAATTACACCATAGATGACCAGGAGGAAGGCTGCAACAGCTATGGGTCTAACGAAAACTTCTCTGGAAGCATAAAGTAAGTATAGGTGTTGTTGCAGCTTCCCTATTCAGCATCTGACAGTTCCAGGGCTGGTTTTGGGGCTTGTAGGAGCAGGAAAGGACTTCAAGTGATCATCTAGACTTTCCCAAGAGAGGAATACTTTTTACTGAACTTTTCTTTTTAAAGGATGGTTTTTGTGCTACTTTTAGAAGAACTGATGTTACAGGTTTTTTACCTAATGGGAGTAACTGAGTTTCATGTTATTAATGTGAAATGTAGGGCACATATTACAGGAAGTTCTTTAGGATGTTTCTCAAATTCAAGAAAAAAAAGATCAAAATATATGGCTCTTTCATTAGCAGTATGGACATATCTGAGGAGTGACACCAGGCTGCTGGGTGGAAAAGTCAGGAGTGCCTGAATTTGTGGATGCCCTCACAGCTCCTAAATTCCCTTTCCCCTCACCTTCAGCCTGTGGGTGCCTGCACTGTGCATTGCCTGAGCTGGGTGGGTACAGAGTTGGTGTGATGGGCTGAAGAGTGCTGGCAGGCTGGCAAGGAGCTCTGCCTGTTTGCATAGAGAGTTGTAGTGAAGGAAAGCAAAGCCATGGTCAGCAGCTCAGCTCTCACTAACCACAGCAGGTATTGTGTCCGGAAAATTTCCGTGTTCCCCAAATTGAAAATAGGTGAAAAATAGATGCTACATAGTGAGTAGCTTTAAGATGTTTCTCATTGCACTTATGTGTTTTGCTTGGTTTGCTTCTTGTCCTAGGAGCCAAACAGGAGAGCAGCCTCCAGCCGGAGCTTTTGCCCCATCCGACATGCTTCTGTCCTCTAAGAGTTACACAGGTCAGATTTTGCAGCCCACGTACAGTCCCGATACTCTCTCTCATCTTGGTTATGCTGATGGATTTGACGAGGAACCTCCTTTGCTAGAAGGTAAAAAAGAAACCCATGGACAACATGCATGATTCCTGGAGGTGCATCTACTTTTCCTTGCCGGCTAGTGGCCATCACTAGAGAAACTGCAGCAGAGCTGCCAAGCCTGGGTGTGTGAGCTTCAGCCAACAGCTCCTGGCCCCTAAACCTACATTTTCTTCTTGAATTCCCATGGATTCATTCAGCCTTATGACATATAGGGCATATACTTTACCACCACTAGATGGCAGCATAACAATATGTTTTGCATTCACATTTCCAAATCTTTTTTCCCACTCTATGTTTATCCTGCATACATATTGGAAAATCTATAATTAATAAATACTGATAATCCTCCTTTTTGCATATCTAGTAATAAATGTAATAGTTTGAAGATGCTAAGTAGCTTGTTTCAGAGGGAAACAAATTGAGAAAGCTGCTTTCAGCTTCAATTAGTTAATCATTTAACTATACAAACAATGTCATTCTTTATGATGATTGAACCATTCTAATGCTAGTGGCTGACTTTGTAGTTTGCAAAAGACTTGTGCTGCATTAAAAAAAAAAGAATTGGAGAATTTGTCTGTGATTATTTCAGCATAATGTGAAAGGAGCATATTCAGCCTGCTGCTTTTGCATACTGGGAGGCAAGTGAAGTTTTTACTACTTAAAAGGTGCTACTACTGCCTTAAAGCCAGAAAGATCACTCTGATACAGGTAACTAGATCTCTACCTCTAAGACCTCCAAGCATTTATCTCCCCATGCAGCTCACCCTGTGAAAAAGATGCTGCGATATGACTGCTTGTGATCCCCAAGGCTTCAGAGATGTACCTATCTATGTACACATAGGTCTGACTAAAGATACACATTTTAGTACAGAGTAGCTTTATTTATGTAATGTTTTGGCTGAGCTCAAGATGATGGAGAGGTGGAACAAGATAAAGACTTGGCTTTTCAAAAAGAATTAACACATTGTCAGTCTTAATGCTGCCAACTCTGGCACCAAGTCCTGAGCCTAACTTTTCCCTTACTGGAGAATCTCAAGGAAGTTGATTACTCTTGCAAGCTGAAGTGTTTTCCAGAAGTTATAAAACAAATCTTTGCCCCAGTAGAGGTTGTGGCAGAATTCCCATCAACTTTAATGGGAAAGAATTTTGTTCTGTTTTCAGGGGTCTCAGTATTACTTTTTAAATGAAAAAAAAAAAAGTTTTTAAAAAACACTGTACAAGGTATTATTAACTTGCCTTGAAGGGACAAATGTCATTTTTAAGTGCCTCTGGCAGTTCAGAGTTAAGACACATTTCTTGTCAGATTTACCAGAATTAAAAAATATCTCTCTGTCCTTGGTGTTCTTGAGTATCTTAAATTCTGCAGCTGCTGTTAATTAACTTATTTTTCAACATCTAAGCTGGTGTGGCATTAGATATATGTGTTTTAAATATAGGAAAAACAAATATTAACTCAAAAATGCTGAGGGCATTTTTTGGCTCATTGCCTAAAGTTTGATTTAATAAATTAATATTCCAATTGAGAATCAGAGCTGACTCTCAAACATACTGGGTATACAGCATGTTTCTACTAAGAATATGTCATCCTACAATATTATCTTCATTAAAGCAATTAATTTGTTTGCGGTTTTGTGATATCTAATGCGTTTCTGTGAAAGTGTTGTTTTCTTGTGAGCAATTAACAATCCTGAAATTTCTTGTTGCAGAACTTGGGATCAATTTTGAGCATATATGGCAAAAAACATTAACAGTTCTAAATCCAATGAAGCCTGCAGATGGTAGCATTATGAATGAGACAGACCTCACCGGACCTATCATTTTCTGTTTGGCCCTTGGAGCAACATTGCTGATGGTAGGATGTGGTTGAAATCTTCAGGGATTTCTTTTCCAACAAGCTAATGCCTAGGTGATAATGCATATGAAGTTGCAGAAGATGTAGTACTGGCATAAAAGGAGTCATGTGCTGCCATTTGTTCTGAGATTATGTGTTAAAAAGTCTCCTTGCTTTGAAAGTGCCTGCATTAAGTTTAAATGTAATGCAGAAGTAACACAGGTGAAGTGATATATTACTTCCAGTGTTACTTCCACTGACAAAAAAAGACTATACCATTTTTGGGGTGGGATTTAATGTGAACAAAGGACAGATCTGTGCCATGTATAACCTGGAGAAGCTCTGAACACCCAAAGCATAGCAGTACGTGCTAGATAAAGACCTAACAAGGAGTTTTTAAAGTAGCTAATAAAAAGACATAGCAGACCAGCCCAGTTTTTCTAACACTCTTGACACTGTTTTGAAATTATCTTCTTTCTATGTTATTTTAGGGAGTGCAGAGATATAAAAAGAGTATCTTTATATAGCAAGAATATTTGGAAAAAAAGAAATGAAAACAATCTTTTTCTTCAAACTTTCCTTTCTCCTCAAATTTGCAATGATTTCCTATAAATTTTAATAGTACTTTCTTAGTTAATATTCTTTTTTCTATATTGTCTACTTAACAAAATACGGTAGCCTGTATTTGACCTTCTGTTTTATGAATATAGCTTTCCTATAGGAGGGAAGTTTAACAGGGATTGTGCAGTTCTCTGAATTCATCTATTTATCATTGACAACAGGGGGTTTCCAGTGTTGCTGAAGTACAGCTCTGATTGTTGGCAGTAATTCATCAGACAGGGGTAAGGTGGGACCACCCTGGGAAGGGCTTTACTGCTCTGCAACTGAGGTGAGAGAAATGGATCTCTAATTCTCCGTTTCCTCTATGATAAATAGTGTTGAATCAGAAGATTCTTGAAAATTCTTACTCCATTGTCAGAGCAGTACCTTGAATGTGCAAACTGCAATATAAATGGCAAGTATTATTATTATTATTTATGCCCCTATAAAAATAAAAATATTTTATAAGGGTGGAAGAGGCAGGAGGAAGGGGAATAAAAGGAAAAGAAGACAGGAAGCTAGAGAAGACAGGCTATTTTCCACATGGAGAAATAAAGATATGAGAGTAGTAAAAGGAGAAAGTTGAAAAGCTAAGAGAAAGAAATAATGGAAAAAAATGCTTCCTGTTGATTTTTCTTCCTGAATAGCCAACAATTCTAATGAATATTAGACTACTATTATTGAAATAAAGTACTTATATTTATTAAGCATTTTAAGTGTCATTAGAAAACTAACTTCAGTGCTCCAGTTGTAGGCCAGCAGAACTCCTCTGATACAATCCAGTGTTTTTGTGCCATAACTTCACAGCAGTAAGTGTATGGGTTTTCCATGTGCCATCTTGGAAATTTGGGCTGCTTATTTTATCTCAGATGCATTTGAATACTAAAGTGGCTGTTCATCTGTGTAAACCATCCTTCTGTACTTATTTAAGTCTCTTCTAATAGCACCAGGAACAGAATTTGGTTGAGACCTTGTTTCTGAAACAATGTATACATTTTATTTAGTTTCAGGTTTTTAACTATGGAAAATTATGCAAAGATATTCTTCAAATGGTAGCAGCTCTTTCAGAGAGAAAGAGAAAAGGGCTGTTAGCCCAGCAGCAGGACTTGATCTTCCTTATGTTTGTATAACAGGGCAGCCCAATTGTAGGAGGAGAAACAATGACAGCACAAAAGTTAGCAGAAGGCTGTCTCAGCTGCTCTGCATTTTACATAGTCATTTGTATGAAATCAGACTTCCCTATCCACTTCAGCTAAGGATAGTAGTACCCACTCCAGGCAGATGCAAACAAGCACACAAAGTCTGACTTTCTCCTAACCTTGTTCCTTCCGCAGGACAAATTTAGCTCTTTCCATTCATCAAAGCCTGTCAGACTAATCAAGCCTGATTCTGGTTTTGCTTACATCCCTGTGAACTGGGAGTATTCCTGTGTGTGTGAGTCAATATATTTACATATGTTAAGAAAGATGGCTAAAATTGGAACCAGCATGTTCAGCTGCCTATCCACCCTCCACCCTTGCCCCACCAACCAAACATTTCACCAAGTGGAGATTTCAAATAGCTGCTGGTGCTAGTGCTCCCTTCGTATCTGGCTCAGGGATTTCTTACTCTTAAACTAAGTTGATAAATAGTGCTGTGTAGAATAATTAAATACACTGAAACAAAGTCTAAAATATAGCTTGTAGTTGTTGCACCTGTTTGAAACAGCACTTTTCTTAGCTGGTCTATAACAAAGGCTGCCCCAAACTGTTATGGGTGCTAAACTTACTACAAATTATTAATGACTGAAATTCTAATTGATAATAATCTGAGGTAGTATTGCTCTCTCAAAATATCTACAGCTATCATTAATTTTATTTGTAGAAGCAATTTTTCCTGATTACTTTATACCACTAGTATGCAAATGCCGGCAGAGGATTCTGTATCAAAATAGGAAGATTTCTTACCCTGTTAGTTCAGAAATAGATTATTCCTTATGGTGGAGGACAGTGATGGGGAAAAGCCCAACACTCAGAATGTTGCAAGGATACAGGCAGCCTGGCTGTACCTGTCTTAAACATTGAGGACTGGAACCAGATGAGAGCTCAGAAGTGAGCCAGTTCAATTTGCAAACAGGATAATGTTGCTGATGTAAAGGCAGGTCTTATTGACTCAGTCTGCATTTCACATAAGTGTGCATTGCTGTCCAACCAGAGCTGGTGAGCTGTCACCAGCCTGCAACATTAGGAATTTCAAGTTGTGTCATCACTAGGCTAGGCCTTCTCCACTGCATTGCTTTACGTCTGTCCAGCTCAAACACTGCTGGCATCCAGCGGTCAGTTTCCATATTGTGGTGGGGGAAAACACTTTTCCCCCTGAAGTTATAAAATGGTAAATCCCTAGGGGGTGGAGACCCTTAAGGTTTGAACCAATGAGCGCTTTTGCAAAATATGAACATATCACAAGCAGACCGGAAAAGAAAGGTGATATTGTTGTAGTTGTAGTTGTTGTTGGAGAAGTAGCCATGTTGTAGAGCCACGAGGAGAAGCAGCAACAGCCCCACTGGGGCAGGGACTTGGAACAGTGTTAAACTGGGCCAGGTTCTGTAGCTGAGAGCTGAAGGAGTTTTCTCCACTTTGAGCAGCAGAAGCAGTGGCAAAAACAATACTAGCTGGAGAAAGTGGCAGAGAGCCAAGAGACAAGAACTGAAGAAGCAGCAAACGAGTATGCAGCTGAGCAAGAGACACAGAGTTGTCCGAGAGACGAGAGCCAGCAGCAGAGAGAGAACTAAGCTCTACAGAGACAGAGTTTTGGGGTAAGAACTAAACCAAAAACCCCCAAACTCCTTGGAGACTTCTCCTAGAAGGGAGGGGTGAAGTGCAGCAGTACTGCAGAGAGGAGCTGAGAAGCTCAGGCATCCTGGAAGCTGGACCAGGACGGCCAAAGGAATGCAGAGGAGGGCTTTCACCACCCCCTCCCCCGCCTTGAGATGGAGCACAGAAGCTCTGTAGGGGAATTTGAATCCCCTGAAGATAGGGACTGTCACGAAGACCCCTGCGCTTTGTGGTATGACATAGTGAAGTGACCCTTGTCCCGGTGAACACAGCCTACGGAAGAGAAGACCCTCACTTGGAGACAAAGGACCATGAGGGCTTGAATACCCCCCTCCTGTGTACTGGCAGAGATCCAGCTGCAACTATTGCATGAAGTGAGATAGGCTGCTGCCCTGAAGACACTGCTGCTCTGAGAGTGGAAAGGATCTTTTCCTTCTTCCCTCCTGGACTTTTATTTGGAGGGGAGAAGAGATTTGATCTATTGTAAATATTTTTATGTCATGGTAGAGATAGTTAAGATTGTGTGTGTAATGTATTGTAATATTTATTTTGTCATTGTAATATATAATATATATGTCATATATAATATATATGTCATTGTAATATATAATCCCTTCCCCCCATTTTGAGTCTCGTGTGAGTCTGGAAAACCCATCTTACACTGGGCTGAAATGTGGGAGGGGGTTTGAACTAGGGAATTGGATTTTGGGGCTCTCAAACCATGACATGCATGCATGGATAGAGGAAGAGGGGCCAGAGAAGAAGGGTCCTCAAAGTTGATTTCCCCCAAATTTTATTAAAATGTATGGATAAATAAGGTGATAGGTCTTCTTAATCCTCCTTAATCACTATGAAAGGTATACTAGCAAATATCACAAAACATGAAAAAATGCAATGTTTCCAACTAATCCATCACAAGAGAATCCAACCATAAGCCCATAAGCCACAAACTGACTAGAAAACTGAGACCATCTAATAGTTTTGATTCTCATGTGGTTTATCATATGCAATATATAATATATAGTGGGCAACATATAGATATGTTTTTGTCTGTGCACAAACACACCTGTGTTTTAAATGTGTACAGACATGTTGTTATGTGTCAGAAAGGTGATGCATAGTGGCCCTTCCTTTGAGAAGTTTATTCCATAGTCCTGAGTCAATAGTTGAGTTCCAGGTAAGAGCTTTGTCCTTCACTGGTGCATGCTATCATTAATATACAAAGTTCCAAGACAAAACAAAATTTATTTCTGATTTATGAATGTTTTTGTGATGTACAGATGTGAAAATGACGGTATTGCATAGCCAGCAATCAGTATTTAATTTGTTAAAAGCTTGAAGAGAGAGCAAAAAATATTCAACAGTCTTTTGTGACTGTTTTGTTTTGGGGAGTGAACAATGCACTTATGCCTGGAGGTGATCATTCAAACTGATGGCAGGAGATGAAGGAATTGGTACTGCTGTGGCCACAGTTGCCTGTTTTACTAGCTTTGTGTATAAATTAGAAAACATCAAGCTCTACCAGGCTGGTACCTTTCACAGGCACTACATTCACTCAAAGGAATAAAATCTGGAAGGAAAAAAAAGCACCTGGGGTTTTTTTTGTTCGTTAGAACAAGGAAAAGAACACAAGCTGACAGTAACTACTCAGGTTTATGTTGAAATGAACATGTATTGATCTAAGCACAGAAATGTGTCTTTCTCATGGTAGAAAAAAGGAAAAAATGGTCACATTCATCCTGAAAACTAGCATATTTTAAACAAAGTTTTACTAATTTTTTGCCGACCTGTTTAAAGTTGGAGGTTTTTAATAAAATATAAACCATATCAAGCAACCTGAGTCATAATTTACTTAGGACAGTTTTTCACAGCCCCATATACACCTGTTGAAAAGATGTTTCTTGAGACTAAAAAGAAATTATTAAAATGTACTTTCCATAATTTCTTCTCAGTTTGTTCCTTCAGTCTGTAACTTCCCAGTTATACCCTCCCAAGTCTCCCAACCAATTCCTGTCCCGCTCAGAGCCCAAAGAGAGTAAGACTGAGAATCAGCCTTGTAATTTTAAGTTAGCAACAAGCACATTCTCTCAATTGTACCTTTAAATTATTTTTATGCAAAAATCACCCAAAAGTATCAGCTGTGGTTTATGACTGAACTAATATAGGTAAAGCGGAGAGAGAGTGTCAACAACAAGAAGTAAGAAACCTAAACCTAATTCTGTCTTCTCTCACTACTTTGTGATCACTTGCTCAGTTCTGACAATTAATGCTTACTCATATTTATTCCAGGCAGGAAAAGTTCATTTTGGCTATGTGTATGGCATGAGTGCCATTGGGTGCCTTGTTATGCATGCCCTGCTGAACCTGATGAGTGACTTGGGAGTCTCACATGGCTGTGTTGCAAGTGTCTTGGGCTATTGTCTGCTGCCCATGCTGATCCTGTCCTCTTCTGCAGTTATCTTCTCACTACAGTAAGTACCAGTCTATCACAACAGGAATCCTATGGAAAATAGTAAGTTAGAAGACTGGTGTTGTGCAAAACATTTTATAAATGGTTGCGTAGGGAATTTTGGCTTCTGAAACTGTAAAGCAAAACACCATTTTTTGTGTCTGTGTAGATGGAAACAGACAGAAGTGTTTGAAAGGATTGGTATACATTCATTTTAGTGTGAGTCCTTAATCCACCGCTTCTCACTTGGACTGAGAGTGCTGATAGATTTTTGCAGTAGCCTCAGATGTGCCTTTTGTTCTACAGAGCCAACAGTGACCAAAGTCGGGTATCAATTTTAAAAGTGACTGCTGTACTTTGGGTTTATGTAGCTGGTTCTCCTGTTTCTTTATTTGTTCACAGCATCAGGCTTCTCGTCTTTATGTTTCCTTGTGTATACCGACTTCTGTTGGGCAGAATGAAACAATCCTGTAACCCTTAACGATTTGGACAATTAGAACAAGTGTTTAAGATGTAGTAGAGTTGTATACTCTGAGGTATAGTTGTGATGTAATTGCAAACCTGAAAATAACCAAATACTTTGAAATACCACTTGTGCAGTGGTGTATTTATCTGTGCACATATGGAGGATTGTTCAGTTACATGTCTATGGATAGGAAACTTTTTGGCAAGCCTCTCTTTCCTCGTCATTTGGTTAGTCCTTTGAGATGCAGACTCTGTTTACCTCCCTGTTCACATACAGTAAAGTACAAGAAAGTTCCAGATCTTCCATGAAGGCATTGAGCAGTCCTTTTACCTGTTTTTAACATGTTATTAGTGGTGGTTTCCCTTCTTAGACTTTGTTATTCTCTGACATTTTTAACTCTTCAATCTGTAATGTATGGAACTTGGCAGCTGATGAATAAGAAAGTGCCCCTGTTTGTTTTCTTTGGAAAAGAAGTATATATATATGTATATATATATATATACACACATATAAAAATATAATTTTTTAAAGGAAATTATGTAGCAGAATGAAGATTTTTACACAATTCTTGTTGCATGTTTCTGTGGAGCTATGACCATATTCCATGTATTAAAGTGTTTCTGAGCTGTCCTTGATAAGATGGATAGTAGTGACACTGAAGAAGTCATTTATTCTCTGTTCTCCTACACTTCCCATATTTTCTTGATTAACCTGTTTAATAATCCAACCTAATAAAATATGCAGACACATAATCGTAAGACAGATGGGGTGAACTCCAAACCAGCTGTTACAATTGTGCAGGGTACTGTTGTCTGTACAAGGAATCCCCCATCATACACTACACATTTGTAAAATGCTGCAAATTTGCAGACATATTTTGAAAAACTATAAATGCTATATTGTGATAGCCTTTAAAAAATTAAACTGTTATTTCTAAAATGGGTTGATAATGTTAAGTACCTATCGACAGGATTCTGCAGTCCTTTCTCATTTGCTATATGAAGCTGCTTGAACACAGCAAGTACCAAGGTTAACTATTGCAAACATGCTATTAAAATTAAGTGGCAACTTTTAAATCCAACATACACTTCACTATTTTTAATTTAAAAGCTTATTTAAAACGGTAAAGGAAAGACAGTGACACATTCATAGGGGTTTTTTAGTATTTGTAAAAAATATTATTTCTATTTCAAAATTTAAAGAACTTACCTCAATTTTTTTTTCACAGAAAATATACCTAGGATAATGCATTTATCACTTGCAAACATGTAGCAATAAAATAATTCTCAATTTTCATGATTAGCTATTTCACTGTAACCAAATAAAACAATATATGCAGCATTTTGGGTGCTAAAAAGCACCAAAGAGAAAACTTGCATGGAACTAGATTTGTTTGTGCCCCATCTAAGTTGTTATCATGTGTAAGCCCAAGTTGATTAGACCATCTTTCTGGGAGAAACATCAACAGACTTTTTTCCGGGAAAAAAACCTGAAAATTCTTTACTGCCAAAGGCCCAAACAGAAAGGTCAAGCTATTTCCTTAACTAAACAGTGAAGGAAATGAATGTAAGAGAGGAGAAAGAAATTCTTAGACCCAGTCAATGTAAAGGACCCGTTTGGTGACAGCATCTGCAGGATGTGAGAGAGAGAGTAGTACACATCTGTACCCCCATCTCAATCTCATGCCAGTACAGCACCAGTCCTCTTGGTCACTGTGAGCATGACATCTGCTTCTTGCCCTTCTCCCATGCGAGGATTTGACCTCATGGACGTACCAGACAAAAGCTCTCTGCCAATAATATGTTAAATTGATGTCTGAATTTTTAAGTGCACACAGGTATCTCTTGGTTCCAATATGATTTTATGTCGCCTTTCCATCCTGCTCTCTGCCAGTCCTGGAACAAACCATAAGAGGCCATTGGACTTCAGTCCAAGGCAGAGCATCCACAGCTCTAAATTGTGCTGCCCCGTGATAGTCCCCTAAAGAGTCATTATACTAGTTGAAAATGGTCATTGCACAGTATGTTGCTGTTGCATCCCATCCCTCTGCCAGCATGGGTACCTGCTGAAAGAGCCATCCATACTAGCTCTGAATTTCTGGCTCTCTGTTTAGGTGAGCAACTTAGCATCTTCTCTTGGAGAAGAGGCCAGAAACTTGCTTCACAAAGCTCGGTGTAATTTCCCTGAATGCCACCGCATAGGTTTAAAGAACACTTAAATTGATGGTATTACATCACATTGTCTTTCATGTTTTATTTTTAACATGTTGAAGTTGCACTGAGGTGCTGAGTCACTGTAAAATCAATTCTCTCCTTCCTCCCTCAAAGTCCCAACAGCTGACAACACCAAGTACCTCACTGGCCTGGAGACTGGATTGCTAAGGAATGAACTATTTTATGTGATATGATTGCATTAAGTAAACTAAGTCAATTGCATAAAGAGAGCTTTACTCATCATGGTTTAGTTGCAATCATAATATTAGTGGAGATGATTTCTGATAAAAGGACCAACGTAAGTATACGCAGTCTGTTTCTCCCTTCTGGTTCTGTTATGGTGATGCTTTGGAAGAGTGGGGCACCAGGAAGGCCTTTAGGAACTAGCAGATGTTCATTTTTTCTCAAAGTTCTTGAAACAGTGAAAGTGTGTAATGCAGCCAATCTCATTATGTACTTCAGCAGTATATTACGCACATGATCTCATGCATTTTACAGAAGCAGGCTGCAAACAGACTGCAAATAAAGCATATGTGAATCATTATTTATTGGTTAGATTTTGTTCCTACAGGGTTTAATGGTGAGCCCTCTGTAATCTGCAGGAGAATTTCAGTGGGCTTTCAACCACAGTCCCATAATCATAGTTCTCCAGACCACTCTGCTCCTGAGAGGTTGCAGAATGTAACTTCAGAAGGGCCCAGCTGTCACCAAGGGACAGTGTGGAAAGTCACCATTCTTTCAGCGTGCAGAAGGATGCCAGGATGAGCAAAATATTTTTCCTCTGTGGTTCTTTTCCCATTCCTTACTTCATGCTCCGTTTGCTCCCTGTTTTAAAAGGCCAGTAGAGCTTTTTCCTGGCAGACAAACACTGACTTTCTGCCCATTCAGCTGAGGTGTGAGTCTCTAAGAGCCTCCTCTCAGAGTCCAAGGCACACTTAAAATTTGTGTCATGCATTACAAAAATGCAATCTTCAGTCTCTCCAGGTCATCAGGATTCCTGATGGAAGAGTAGGTCTGTAGTGTCATTTTAGAACCAAACAACTTCTACAAGCTGATTTTGGCTGAAATAGGATCTTTGCTAACTTTAATATTACACTTTAGCTGCTGCATCTGCTGGAGTCCCAGAAGATTTATTTCTAAATGCATTGCCCTCTTAGAAGTACTTCTGATGATGCTTTTATCCATGCTGAAGAAATTACTTTTTTGTTTACGATTACAGATTTAATTTGTTCTTATGCTTGACTTTCATTATGATAGTCAGTCCTTGGTTCTTCCAGTGACTGTTACCTTATCAACAGCAAGCTGATAGACATGAACTTGAGTTCATGTAAGATTTGATGCTACTTTTGATAATATGTGGACTCTGTCATGTTTCTTCTGTGTTTTGTTTTTCTTTTCTCCTAGGGGGATCCCAGGAATTTTGTTAGCTCTGTTTATTATTGGATGGTGCAGTCTGTCAGCCTCCAAAATTTTTACCTCTGCATTGGCTATGGAAGGACAGCAGCTACTGATTGCATACCCGTGTGCTTTACTTTATGGACTTTTTGCACTTCTAACGGTTTTCTGAGATGTATTTTCTGGTAGTCTTACTAAAGTCTGTTCATGGTTGTAGGAGGGGGAAGGGGTTATTTATTAGATTCAAGTTATTTTTAGTTTGCCTAGAGTTGCATTAAGTTCCATTAACAAAATTAGATTCTGTGACTTACTGATTTTTTCCTAATGGCTTATAATGAAATAAAAAATCAAGTTAACAGGTAGATGGCCTCAATAATAGTATTTAAACAGTCTTACAGCTTAAGGAAAAAAAATGTATTGAGAAGGAAGTAAAAATGAAAAAATATGAAATAAATTATAATTAAATGAAAAATTCTGAGTGTTTATAATATAATACATGTGCTAGAGAGTAACTGAAAGGCAATTATGTAAATATTTAATGGCCATAGTAAATCAAGCAAAAATGTGTATTTATTTGTTTCAAAAAAAGCAGCTTGCCATCTTATATAATTATTAATTAATATCCAGAATTTATATGTGTGGGTTTGGGGTTTTTTTATAACAGAAGACTGAGTGGCCATGCTTTGTGATATTGAAGAGTTGCCCAAGAACAAGTTGATACAACAGAGGGAGGAAACTGGGAATGTCATGTTGTTGTTGTTTTGTTTTTTTTTTAAGAGGTGTTGCTGTCCAAAACATCATTGTACTGTTTGTAATGCACAGTAATGTTATATTTTAAAATTGCCACTAAACCATTGCCTGCTGTAACTGCAGAAAAGCACCACGCAAAGTACAGACAACTCCTAAAAAGTCTCTGAAAGGCAGAACTGTATTTGAGCAAGGAAAGCACAAACCTCCATAATTTTACCTGCCCCTCCCAAAATCTATTTAGTTTTACAGAAACCAAACATTTTGATAATGGCAATGAAGCACAGAATGCACAAGAGGAAGTTTCAAAATATAATATTAGAAGTATCAAGCCATCAAGAGGAATTGGAGATTTGTGTGCAGTCACAACAAGAACAAAATCAAGTACACAGTAGTAGAGAAAATGAAGGTAGATGTAGACAGAGATAGGAAAAACAAATAGTTGAAATAAATGGAAATGTGAAGGCAATACTGGCAGCAGATTATTTCGTTAGTGTTTAAGGGTGTCTTTCTTCTTGATGTATATTTCTATGATCTTGATTATCCTCCAATTTATAGATTATTTTAAATGCTTTGGTGAATTGCTTTCAAAATATTTCTTTCTCTAGACAGAGGACCAGTGATTCTGAGACAGAGTGTTCTGATACTGCAAGCACTTATGCAGAAGTTTAGTATGGCAAAACTGCTCAAGAATACCTAAAATTAATTGCGTTCCTAATCCTTTTCAGGTCAGAGCTAAATTACATGATCTGTTTGTCCTCAAGCTAGTGATTCTGTTTCTGAATTGAAAGAGCCTCTGGTAAAAATATTTCCCATTGCTGTCATATTTGGTTTTTTTAACAACTCTAAAGCAAACCATTCTGGAATTCATTTTGTCCAACTCCAATGGAACTAGTTCAGAGTACAAGTCATGAGAAGTAAACAAAAGATAATGTATACTCATCCGATTTCTTAAAAAATCAAAACTTATTTATGGAAAAAATGCTGCATTTATCCATTTCTTTGCTGCAAGGCTACAAAAACAGGCGCAGAGGGGCAAAGTTGGAGGTATGACCCTTAAGCAAATTGTGGCTATAACTAGGCAGGATCTAGTTGCATGTAAGTGGGAAGTGCATGAACTTGGAAAATCAGCATTTATGAGCATGACAGATTTGGCCCTGTTGTATCAGGGAGTAAATTTGCCAGTAATGAGGCACAGATAAACATATAAAGTGACTCCAGGGTATGGATATAAAAATCAGATGGTTTGATTTACCATACACTAATGGCATTCTGATGTCTCAATGGGGAAAGATTTGTATGGTTGCACTTGTTGTAGAGTTCAGAAAAGATGGTTTAGAAATGTTTAGATCCATTTTTGTCCTACATTTCCTATTATCATTCATACTGACTAAAACAAGTATAAAATGGCTCGATTCTGCAGCACTTCATTCTCATCCTGATCTGCATGATATGAATGACAGGGAAAACAGTGAATTAAGCCACTAATTTGTCTTTTGACTTGTCATAGACAAGACAAATTACTTATGGGGAAAATGAACGCCTTGAAATTTTGCCACAGCATTTACAAAGCAAATGGTAGCCTAATTATAGTTTTATGTTTATTCTCTCAGAATTTGTAACTTTTTTCTTTTCTTCACCGAGACATATCTTCATCATTTTGAGTGCTAACTTCTTAACTCTGGTAACTTCCCTTGCTTTACTTTGTTTAGCTGTGAGGATTTCCTTTTACCTGTTCCCAAGGGATTTCCAGTGAGTGGAAATCATGCTGGTGCTGTGCTCCCAGTATGGTGTCCTGCAGGGGTCTCTATGCTGACTGATAGGGTTTACCTCTCTTAGGTGTCCTTCTTCTACTTCTTTGAAATAAGATTTCTCATTTTTCCTAGCTCTTCTTTCTGAAGGTTAGCACAGCCATGGTGATGCTTTTGGCCCTGTTATTCCTGTGTGTGCTTCCTGAATCTAAAAATATTATGGCCACTATCACAAACTGGTACTTCATCAAAAATAAATGGTTTAAACAGATCTTAGATCAAAATAATATTTGCTAATAAACTCTTGTTCTGACTCTGGACAAGCTTTCCCAACACCATCTATCTTTCCTGTATTTTCTCTTGCCTCAGCCATCATATTTAACTTCCCCACATCATTCCGTGAAATTTTAAATACAAGCCTGGCAAACTGTTACTTTCAACTTGCCAAGGAGAAGATTACAAAATAGTAGCGAGTCACATACTGATTTTTAATTCATGCTTCCCACCCCAAAGAGTTAAAAAAAATCACAATGTTTCTAATCTGTCTTTGGTTTCTTGTTCTTTGTAGCATGCACAAGAAAGTTCAGTTCTGAATGTGCATTCACACACAAATATGGGCACTTACTTAGGTCCTTTCTGTTAATTCAAATGGTGATATCAGTGTTGGACACAGGCAGTATGGCGGAGGTGTAGGAGACAAAGTGTTTGCCTGTCTTCCACTGCACTTCTCGTGTGCCAGATGTATTCCAGGTCACCCTCAGAAAGAAGCTTGCAGAATTCTGGTGTAAGATAAACATTTTGCTTTCCATTGGAACTAAATGCAGGAGGGTATGAAAGTGAACATATTCTGAATGAGAGGAGACCTTAGCATGTAGCTGAGTATGGAAGGACAATAAAATTGCTGTATCTGACTAGCAGCTGCTTACAAAACATCAGGTTACTTCAAGAGACCTGGTCTCCTTGGCACGTCAAGGGCCACTTCTGTAGTACCAAGGTTCCACTATTTATCAAAAATCATCTTGTCACATCATCTCTAATAGGTTATGATACAGACCTTGAATGGTTTAACTGTCGGTAAGCTGAATTGAGGACGGTAAGCTGAATTGAGGACTGAAAGCTGCTGACACATTGAATTGGACACATGCTGCATTTCCTGGTGAAAAAGCATTAGCAAAGGGTAATATTTTCCTGCTTTTCTTGGCTTAGAAGACACAGAAGGTTTATATACAAAACAGTGACCTCATTTCATGACTACGCTGTTTATGTCATTTGCGTATGAGACATGACAGATCTGTGTCTTGACTTAGACCTTTCTTGCCACCATGTTTTTTTCAGCTCCTTGCTAAACAGACATCTTCACATGTTGGCATTTTCTGTTCACTGAATTATCTTAAGGGGAATTTTACAGTAATGTTGAATTACTCATCTTTATTTCTATCAATAATAGGTATAAATGATAGAAGAATTCAAGAAATTGTACCTGTTTTAAATTTCCTTTTTATTCCCTTATTGTCAAGAGCATATTTCATGGTCATCCTGTTTTCATGCCTGGTAGCTAAGGATGTACATATATATGATAGACATATGCATACGTGAAAAAAAGCATATATATGACAAGTTGCAAGACACTGGAGCTCCAGCAAGTTTATGTTATTTTTGAGGGCATAATAACAGCATAATATCAGCCTGGGAGATGATGCATATCCTTTCAAATAAATTAGCAATTGCAGCATCTGATAAGCTCTATGGAGAATCACTGCATGTAATGACGAAGCTCCGGTGACATGATGCATTTACTGGTTAATGTATTTTCTGTCAGATAACAAAAGGCTACTGGATCAGCAAGTAATGGGTTACTGCACCATAATGGCTACAAAAATTAACTGCATAATTAACGTCAACCTGCCTAGATCATTGTAATAAGAAATTGATCTCTACCTGTGATGGCATTACTAATGGATATGTTCCTTTTTAAATTCTGCTCTGTCAAAATTTGCCTTTCACTGATTCCATGTTCAGTTAGTCTCTTGCCTGTTTATTCTAAGCAAACTGCAATGGTGCTATGAGAAGTACCAATTTTGCAGCTGTAGGCCATGACTTCTCTGCTTAAACAATCTCACCTCCTCGATATTCCTGATGGTGCATTCTTAGAAGAGGTAAAAGCAAGCACAGCATCTGTGTTTTACTTTTTTGCCAAGTGATTTTGAAAGAATAACATCTGTGACAATGACAATATGTTTACCGTGATTACCAAGCACATTTATTAGACTTATGGTCTCTACATTAGCTTAAAACTGCCCAGTGACCTTGGTGCTGCATCACTGAACTAGATGAACGATGCAATTCACAGAGATCTGCATACAGTTGCATAATAAAGATCTTGGCCAACACGTACCCTCTGCTATGGTAGCATTTTAATTACGGTTGCAAAAAACAAAAAATCATTACCATTCTGTTGCTATGACATTAGGTGAAGTGATAATGGGTGAAAAGAGGTCACAGAAACACCAAACACTCATAGCTGTGAGTATAACAGACCACATGGGAAGCCACTGCTTTGCAGAGAACAGGGGGTAGATTTTCAAAAGCACAAAGGTCAG